CTCCACATGTGTTCATTCATAGTTTTGATGCCTTCAGTGAGAATCTACAATGTAAATAGTCATGAAAATAAAGAAAACGCATTGAATGAGAAGGTGTGTCCAAACTTTTGGCCTGTACTGTATATATATATATATATATTTTTTTTTTTTAATGAATAGGCCAATTTATCTTTACTAATAATAGTTTGGATTAATACTATTGTGTATTTTCAGACACATTTTAATCTTTGACAAAAAAACAAACAAAACAAAACAAACTTTAATTAAACTTAAATTAAATTATCAAATAATAATAAACATCCCCCACCACCACTCCAACTCACAGGACCCCCTAGGGATCCACTATTGAAGAACCAGGGAATAGATAGAATATATAGTAATTTTTATGTTTGCCATATGTTGGTACCTGCCAAATTCCCCTGTCCTTCCTCTTTTGAGCCATGCCTCTTTCATGCACCTTTTGAAAATGTTATTTTTTTACAAGGTCACTTTGCTTTCTTTCCCTTTCCTTCCTTTCTTTCTTGTCTTTTTTAAAACTCTGTTTCCCTTTCTCAGGAAAAGACATGTATGTTGGTGCTCCAGCAGCATAAGCAGTCATTCACTCAGCTCTAGCTACAACAGAGACCAATCCATTGCAGGGGTGGACGGAACCATTTTTAGGTCAGAGGGGCCTCAGAGAGCTTCCACAATATTTTTTATACAAGTTTCAGTCTTTTAACAAGTTTATTCAGCCAGTTTTGTTTTTGTTATCTTTCTGTCAGCGACATACACTCCTAACACAGGACGGGTTGTTTTAATTGGCTGAGTTGATCGTTAAGCCATAGTGATGCGCGGATCGGCTCTGATAGCATCCGAATCAGCATATACGCATCAACCATCCAGCCGTTACAACATGATTGAGCTAGCAAAGCAGTTTTGTGTTGCTATGTGTGGTATTCAGTTTTGGGAAATCACGATGTCTAGAAAGCATCAGTGGCTGCAGCCGACAGGGACAGCTAACGTTAACACTAGCAGCAAAGCTAACATCAGGATCGTCATCCGTTAAAAGCCTCCCGTTGTCGGATACGACATGAAACTACTCCAATTAGCTCAATCATGTTGTAACTAAGACATCCGCTGGAGAAAATATTTTTTTCACGGGCCACTTTGTGAGTTTAGTGAGTTATTACAGACACGGCTAATGGCTAACAGCTAACGGTTAGCCCAGCTAATCTACGATAACCATGTTATTAATTACACACAGAGAAAATACTAATGTTTGTTCAGTCATTGTGTTTATAGACTTTACAAACATCAGATTAGTCTAAACGGTGATATAGTGACGTGAAAAATGTGATATA